AGTCACATCAGAACAAATGAAGTTTAGTTTCACTTCGCTCTTCGAGAACCATCATGTCATGGAACCACATATAATTCACAGCAAAAACAACAAAAAATTGTGTTAAGCTGGAACACAGTCTGAAAGTGAATGCTGGTGAAAATAGCGCCATAAACAAYAGGAACACACAGAGCTTCAGGACAGATTTTCAGAGAGGTAATACTGTGGTTAACACGTCGGGGAGTAGTTCGAATGAGAAAACAATGGGAGCTGCAGATGCATGAATTACGGCTAAACAAGAACAACAGCTTAAAGGAACAGTTCGGATATTCTGAAACGAGGTTCTGTAGAAAGGTTAYGAACATGGRTAWCTTACACACTTTTTTGAGCATCTGTTTGCAGAAATAGAGATGAGTTCTAATCAGGTTGRCGAGCTGAAAGCTAGTCAGAGCACGGCAAAGACCAAAGGGGATTGAGGCCTTAAAAAATCTTAAAGCAACTCAATAAACGGTTTATGTGAATGCTGTTTTAAAAACGTTTATCAAATGTTATAGAAACAACCAAAACTAATGGCAATGTAGACGTTTATAAAATGGCGGTTTAGCTGCAATCAAATTTTTGTGATCAGTTTTAAGTCGGCAGAAATCCACTTTGTTATTATCCTGGCTCAGACTTGCTGTTAGCTCTTTTATCCAGTCGAATTAAACTCAAGGTTTTCAAACTGAGAAGGKTCAAATTGCTATATAAAGAAGAGAAGTTATAAAGTGTTCATAACGTTTTTTATKAACCTCACTTTAAAAGATTTGAAATATTTCTTTACAGAGAAGACAACAAGAAACTAAACGAGACTAATAAAATGACTCGGTGAATTGAAAACTTTGCTACTTAAACACCAAATAAGTTATAGCTGTTTCCAAACTTCTGATGATGCATGGTCCTTATACAGCCATCATAGTTGTACTCCAAACAACAAACACTGATATTAGATTAGAATTCTGTTCCATTAAAGCAGCCGTGTAACATTTTATATATAGAAATGTTGCCGTGAAGTTCTTCTGTTGCTGCCACCATTACGCTGCATCGCTTTTAACGTCTTTTGCAGCCAKATGATAAAAGAAGTAAGGCTCCGGATGAGGCACACTGGTTTRTGTTCCATAAATGAAGTTGTGGTGCTTGTTTCCTCTACAGTCTTGGTGCGTTCTCTAAGAAACGTAAGCAGCTGTAAGGGCTGTTGAGACACGCAGCAGCAGCATGGAACTGGAGCAGCTATGTGTGGCATTGCATAGTTTGGTTCCACTGAAGAGACATCCGTCCACTTCATTCCAGGATGTCAGTTTCAAACGGGACCAGGTGGTAGTAGGACAAGTTGGTGACATAAGCTTCTGTTTCCTCATCACATACTTCGGCTTCCATTGGCAAAAACTCGGGTTCATCCTCGTACCTGGAAAATGAAGATAATGATAGTTTTAGATATGTTAACTGTAAAAAGCACATAACCCTGTTGAGAACGTAAAACCTTCAGTTTAAGGGGGGAAGWGAACATGTTTTGTGTGAAACACCAAACGGAATGTGTTCCTCTTTTGACTCCAACTCAAAAAAGGAAGGAAGAGGTGTTCAGACACACTTCCTGTCTAGTTTGAAGTGGGTGGAGGGTCAATTATAGGGACCTCTTAACTCAATTGCAAGCCTGAGAATTGTAAGTTTTTGGGGGGGAAACAGGCACTACATTTGTTTTGGCTTACAACAAACTTCATGCAAATTTGACTGATAATAATCTTACTGAGTCCTAAAAGGTAAACAGAATCATAGTAAAAAGCAGATAAAAATTCTGTATTGGTGTGTTTTCATAACACTCACGTGTGCTCTACAGAGTCTGTAGATGAAGGCCTCTCTTTTTCCTCTGGGATACTGTGATCAAATACAATCGTTTCTGTATTGGCCAGACAGAATCCATTCGACCGCATGATTTCTACAAGGTACAGAGAGCAATGTTTCATCACTTTATCTTGGCTTTAAGGACAACAGCAGATGATCAATATTTTTTTCTTGCTACACAAGTACATTTACCTGATATCTTGATTGGACTCTGAAAGCATGGCTGGATTCTGTGGACTTCGTCATTCCTTAACACTTGGTCCAGCGGCGAGCGCTCAAAGAAAGTCAACATCACCTCTGACCTGGAGTACTGCAGAGAGAAGGCTTTGTTAGTTCATAGCTTTTGTACAGACAGGAGATTATTGTCAGTGCTCTAACTCAGCAGTCAGCAAAATATCTAGACGACAGTAAGTACTTTGGTACAAATCATGAGATGTGTAATTTTTTCATAMATTTTCTTTGAACCCAGATTTTAACACATGCTATTTGTTCTTTTGAGTTATATATGATGGTTCTTTTTGAGTTGAAAACAAGATAATATCATAGGTTTAACTAATTACTGCTTTATCAAACAAGTACAGGAGACTGTACACTTCACACCAAAGGAAGAATGAGCTAGATCAAAATTATTTGAACTTTTAAGTTACATTCAGTTGGTTTGCTGCTTGCAGACACAACATGGAGTATTTGCAAGTGTGTAGTTTGCATGTCATCTGTCACATTCCTCAGTTGTTTTGTATTTGATGTTGTTTCAGTTAAAGAACTGACCTTGCACGGCATGTTAATGGCATTTTTTAGTAGTCTTTCCACCTCATTTAGCTTCTCCTCTGTGTCGTGTGCCTCTTTGATTTTGACCAAACCTGCAACAAAAATAAACAAGTACATAAATAAAAATTGAACATGGAATTTGTGCTGAATATTTTTGAAATGAGACTTAAGGTTCTCCTGCCCTTTTTTATTGTAAGTTTGGCTTAAAGTAGTCATTTGTATTATGACACTTAAAGTCCATCTTAAAGTTTGACGCCAACCATCCATTGTTATTAAAATCTAGGCAAGTGAGGAAAATTCAGAAGTTGAAGCCAGAATAGGACCAATGGTCCCACAGCCTGGTYTGAGTTTCATGCACTCCTTCAGTGTAAATGATTGAGACATTACACTTAGTTTAAAAAAGGTCATACGTATATTACCACGATTCTGTACAAGGCACAATCCTATAATGAGCAGACCCTGGTTACAAAAACAATTTTAAAAACATGGCAGCAAGAAACTAATATGGCAGTTATATATATATATAT